AGCTTTTTTCCATTCTCAGCATCAATTTTTTTCCCCTGTTTGAAAACTACTCTTAATGGCCATAGGCCTGGGAGAGACAAACTTGCTGCTAGAGCCACCATCAGCATAAAATAGAAGATGGGAGCCATGTCATCTAAACATCTGTCTCTCTGAAACCCACTGGTTTCTTAGACAAAGTCCACTTACAGCAGAAAGACAAAAAACTGCTAATTAAACTACAGAAAGTTCTGACCCATTCTTCTGTGATTTTCAGCTGTTAGACTCAAGACAGGGAATGTGGGTTCAAATTCTGGCTCTGGCATTTACGCTTTGTATGGCCTTGAATATCATTTCACCTTTCTAAGACTCAGTTTCCTGAACTGTAAAATGGACTCTTAGCATCATAGAAGCAGAGCTTGAAACGACCCCAGATGCCATCTGGTCTAACACTTTAATTTTACAGATGAGGAAACAGATGCAGAGAGGTTGTGACTTTCAAATGGCAAAGTGAGATTTGAATCCAGGACCTCTGACTCGAGAACCAATCTTCTGTCCACTGTACCATAATCTTTCAGTTACTTATCTCAATGGAGTTGTTATAAGACTTCAGAAGGGTTTTCAGAAGGAGATTCACAATTTAGATTGGTCGAAAAGAATGCAAACAAAATGATAAAGGGTTCTAGAAACTATTTCATCAACAGCAATTGTAGAAACTTGGAAATCCTTCCTCTGGAAAAGAAATAAATGGAAGACATGAAAATTATCCAAAACATTAACGAAAAGATAACAAAATTTTAGAATTGAAAGGGGATCTCTCCATGTTCATCTAGCCTAACTCATTTTACAGGCAATGAAACTGAGGCTTTTAGTGGAGTTTTGACTTGACCAATATACACAAGTGGCAAAGCCAGGATTCAAACTCAGATTTACAAATACCAAATTCAGTTTTCTTTCCATGACATACTAACGTTTTTATCTCAGAGAGCAGAAATAGAAATCAGTGGGTAGAACTTACAAGGAGGAAGAAATGAACTCAACATAAAAATCTATTCTATTTTTTATTGGAGTATTGGATGTGAACTATCTTTATAGAACTATCTTTAACTTAGTCTTACCTGTTTCACTGAGTGCTTAAGTGATTTCCCCAGCATCACAAAGCCAGTATGTGTCAGAAGAACTTATTCATCAACAGATCTTTGGAAATTTTCTTCTTCAATGTTAGTAGAACAGCTCAGTTGTTTCCAGACAGTATTTCTACCTCCTGATTCCAATAACCCATTGACTAAGACTACAGATGAAGACATCTTGACTATTGGCAGGTATAGTAGAACCATCCTTTTCTTATCCAGGTTACAAGAGCAAAAGAACAATGAACGATTTCTAAACTTAGGCCTTAGAAAGGCATTTTTGTTTTGGGCTCTGGTAACTGGTGCTTACTTTGGGAGAAAAATAATCAAATCTGCTTTGAACCTTACAGAGATTTCTATCATCCCTCCCCATGAATCACTTGTCAATCCTCTCCTTACTTGCACCAAACAAGTTATGTATGAAGAAAATCAGTACCACACTGACAGAGCTACACCATATCATGTTTGTAATTATAGCCATAATGGGTAGAGGGCTGCAGTGGAGAGAAGGTGGGCATTAGGGTTCTGGATTCACATCATACTTCTACAATCTACAAACTGTGTGATCATGAGCGCTGAACCTCTATAAATTACTCACGATTTGTCATCTTTATCAGCAAAGAAAATGTCCACACTGGGAATTCCCCTATACCATTGAATTCATAGGTCCAGTCTCCTCCCTCCCTCCCACTGCCAACCTCCCCAGCCTGAGGAGGGGAAAATGGTCTTATACGAAGTTAGGTGGTACAGTGATTAGAATACTTCGTCTGGGGTCAGGAAGACTTGAGTTCAAATATGGCCTCAGACACTAGCTATGTGACCCTGGGCAAAAGTAACTTAATCTCTGTTACTAATTTATTCAATTTCCTAAAATGTGAAATGGAGATCAAAATGAGACCAAAGAGGTAGTTGTGATGATAAAAAGAGATAATATTTGTAAAGCACTTTGCACGTAGTGCAAAGCAAAGGTCCTGGCATAGTAATATCTGGCATGTAGGAGGTATTTAATAAATGGTTACTCTCTTCCCCCCAACCCCTTTGTGTAATTTCACAGCTTCTCTCCCATTACCTTATTACTGATGCAAGCGAGTAACATAGCAATCCTGAGCTTAAGAGATATCAGAAAGGATCAAACTAAGACAGGTGTAACCTGGAAACTAGATAGCTTTGTAGGTGATCTAGGAAGATGCCAACAGTAGGTGAAGGTAGGATGCCTGGACAGGTAGATGAAGCAAAGTGTCAGTATAGTGTGCATGATGTGTGAAAGGTTCGAGAGACATAGTTTCTGGGTAATTAATTATTTTATTAATTATGCTAGTGGATAATTAATAAAAGGGGTCTGAGGCCTTCTAGAATGCCAAAGACTCTTCATGAAACCTAGTCAACATGCTCTTGGAAGAATGGGTGTTTCTGAAGGTGGAAGTCAACTCTGATTGGTTAACAAATAATGAGAGAATGAATGTATATACCTATTTGTGTCCAATGGTAGCCATCTCTGGGGTGAGGGGGTGGGGAAGGAAAAAAAAGGAAATGAAGAAATTTACATGATAACATTATTACATATTTAAAAAGAACAGCAAGTTGTACACAATAGATTACAGTTTCATGTGCAACCATCTTTTTCTTATACTATTTTATGCTGTTTTACTGTGCTATACTTGTTTTATTCCATAAATTAAAAATAAAATAAAATTGTAAAACCTCAGTTTCTTTATATGTAAAATTGAGTTAATAATACATGTTATCTATCTAACAGACTAATTATGAGAAAATGTGTTGTACGACTTACAATGTTATACAAATGTCAAGGAACACTTTGTTGCTGTTGTTTTGCTTTACAAATCGGAAGAGAAGATTACTATGCAATAATTTCAGTCAACAAGCATTTAATTTAACATTTAGACTTGGAAGCTTCTATTTGGCGTGGGAGCAGATGAGGGATCGAACGCCTTAAATTATGACTCCCTCTCTTTGCTTGCAAGCCCTTCTGTGGCATTCTTCTTATTCTGTCGTTTATTCCAGTGATGTCAACTAACAAAAAGATAAAATGACCCTGGCAAGACCAAGAATTTTAAAATGTTTTCCAGGCTAGCTGTTTTTTTTTTTTCTATAAACCTTTCTTTTGAATTAAAATTCTCCTGGGATAATTGGAATTAGCATTCACTCTGATGCCTTTGTCCCCGACTTGCCTTAAGGCTTTACATTGCTTGCCTCTGTTTATGTTGATAACGTCTCTATTAAAATAAGCTGGCGTGTGATTTCCATAAGACTTTTTTTCTCAGGTTAGCATGAAAACATGACATGTAACTGTCATTTATTAGGTCTTTGTCATTGGGAAAAGAGTTGAGCCATTCGTCCTTTAATGGTTTTGAATAATTAACAAGTAATTATGAAATTCCAACTTGAGAATAGGGTTAAGAAAGTTATTAAAGCTCCATAGAAACCATCCATCCAGAAGCTAGAAACAAGAAAGATGTGTCTATAATTTATAATATTGTGTTTTCTGTCTATGTGGTGGGTTGGCTGGCTGGTTTTTGTTTGTTTTAAAGTTTCACATAATATAGTGAATTAATATGCAATATATGTACATATATAATATACAATATATACAATATACATAATATGGGGAAGTAATATACTTTGTATAGGAGAATTATATACACAGTGCAGGAAAATAATATATATCTTCACTAGGAATTTTTTGTTCTATTCACCATCAGAACAAAGAAAAAATTTTAAAAACTTGTCTATAAACTTAGAGATTTGTATATCTTGGGGTCCTGCTAAGTTCTCTGTACATCCTAGAGAAATAATGATCAGTTTTTGAAACTCAAAAAACCCCAGAGTAGAAGTGGTGGTCATAACCAATAAAATTAACTTATTCACCATCTGATTCCACCATTTATAAATTGCTAATGGGGGTCGGTTCATTTAGTGTAGGAAATTAAAACAGAGGAATAAGGGTTTCTTTCTTTCTTTTTAAGCACGGCAGATAATTTCTAAAATTAGCAAATAATTAGAATTAGAATCACTGGCTCTGTCCAAGGATCAGCTCAACTGTCTTCTCTAGGACCCATGACCTTTTCTGGACTTCCCAGTAATTCTCTCCCTTTCCCCCACCCATATCATCTTCCATTTAATTATCTGTGTATATGCTGTGCCCTCCAGCAAAATGCAAGCTACTGGAGGTCAGGGACATTATTGTCTTTGTCTCCCCAGTGTGTGGTATAGTACTTGACGCTTTTTTTAAAAAAAACTGGATCTGAGATTTCTTTAGTATAGGGAACTGCGGGCAAGGAAATTTTGACCAATATGACGAAACAGACCTCAAGAACCCTATCCAAGTTGGCAGTCTCATTTCTACACGTAACCAGTTGCGGAGAAATGCTGGGATGGCTCAAAGATTCTCTTGGGAGAGATGAATAAAGGAACTGGTGTAATTGACATGCTGCCAATGGGGCAGGGAGTGAAGCACAAGACTACAGTTACATAACATATACATGTGTGTGTATGTGTGTATATACACACATATGTATATGTATACGCACACAGATGTATATCCATGCATGTTGGTATGTATTTCTGCATGTATTTATACTTGGACCAGGTGTGTGATTTCATTTGTATGAACTCCAGGTGAGTAAATTCCTACCAATATAGGTGTGCACCTTCTCTGCCTCTTATATCCTTAGAAAGTTGCTTGAGGGGCACTGTGAGTTTAAATGACTTTCCCAGGGTCATAGTAGCAGTTTATGCCAGAGGCCAGGTTCCAACTCACAGTCTCCTTGTGGCCGAGGCCAGCCCCCTATCCACTAAGCCACGCTACCTCTCATCATCCATGTGATATGTGAATTTTTAATGGTGTTAAATGGCTTTGCTTTTCTGTGTTTACAGATAAACAGCTTCAAGAACTTCCAAGCCTTCTCCATTGTGCAGCAAAGTTTGGCTTAAAGAATTTGGCTGTCCATTTACTTCAGTGTTCAGGTGCAACTTGGGCATCAAAGGCTAGAAACATAGAAGGAGCAGACCCTGCACATATCGCTGAAAGTCAAGGTCATGGGGAGCTCAAGAGAATCTTTGAAGAATTTTCAGTGAGTTACAAATGGGCCCAAATATTGTGTATGTGTTAGCATATTGTCCTTATGTGAAAATGTTGCTATTCATCTATCATCAGTAGGACTTTGGATTGTTCTCCAGTAAAGTGATTGACTGAACGGATCAGTCCACACTTTCCCATTTTCTATTCCACATTTAACCAAATACTTTTGTCAGAAAAGTTTAGGAATACAGTAAATTGTTAACCTTTAGTGTCACCTTATTTTAAACAAAAAAAACACCTTGAATTTTCTATATGTTGTGTATCCTGCTTGTTAGAAGTAACAAAATTAATCCAGTAATTTTTTTAACTATTTGCCTACTATAAATTGTTGCTGGATTAGAACAAGTGATTAGAATATACATAAAAGCAAAATATAATAAAAGCTTTTTGAATCTGGTATGTGAAGAGAAATCAGCTAATTATTAAAAAAGAAAGAAAGAAATGACAGTTAACAGAGTTAACTGATGATGCTTCTTCTGTGATTGTTTCCAATGATCTCCTACTTAAGATGTAGTCTGCACTCAGCTTCAATCTATGCCCAATCCAGAACCTGCAGCTGTCCCTTTCAAAATACAATATGCAAATAATGTATCATGAAGAGAAAGAAGAGAAATTTTAAAAAGCTATTTTCACTCTGCAACATGAAATTTCTGAAATGTAAAAGCCTTCTTAAACCCAATTGTGTGAAATACTAAACTTTACTTCAAAATTAGTCTTCATTTTACCAACAAACCAGTGGGAGGTAATTGGCATGATGTAGAGGAGTATTTTCCTCAAAGTTCTTCAACCTCTCCCCAAAACCTAAAAAAATAAGGAAATACGTGCCAGATATAGAGCGATTAAATCTGAATCTATAACATAAGAAGACTGAAAGATCTTACTTCATGAGATAAAAAAAGCTCATGAAATAATATCTGAGAACTGAAATACTTGGAATCTCCCCTCAGCATTGCCATGCCCTAACCAACTGTGTATGCTAGCTGCAGTAGCCACGAGCAAACTCGTAGCTTTGTGCTTTACAGTCTGTTGGGGGATATCCCTGCCCCATCCCTCAATAAGAACAAACCAACTACAGCAGCTCCTTTGTCACCTCTCCAAGGAGAGTCTTTGAATCACCTTTTCATTTGTCTGCAACTGGTTTCGTGTATAATGAGAATATCAATATGGATAAGGTTCTTGGATTGTGTTTCTTCATATCGGTCAATGGTGAAAGCTTTAATGTAGTAACAGTTGAATTAATGCCTATGCCCTGTCTGATTTGCCCCTTATCTGTCACTCCACTACCAGCACTTCAGAAGTTAAAAAAGGTTACTGCCCAGGACTGAAGGTATTTCATAGCTTCATTGATTTCATGTATCATCATGGTCAGAATACCGGCCAACACTCTGTTGATAACCTTCCCTCTACTTAATAAATTGATCATCCACTATTTAGTAATAGTCTGTTGCTTTCTAAGTCCTTCCCCTTTACTCTTTTATAACTTCTGTATTCTGGGGATGCAGACTTAATAGCTGATAAATTATTTTCTAGTGTCGGTTGAATCACTGTGCTTTTCTGGATCCCCTGTGACTACAGGTTGTTTGGCTCTGTTAAATAAGATTCTTTAACATTTTTCTCCACGTCAGTTGGGCAGCTGAAGAATTTGGACAACTATCTGATGTCAGCAAATGGCTGCAGCTGTTGCAAGGAATGGCCACAGCAGCCAATACCATAGCTCCTCAATTATTTTGACCATCCATAAATAATTATGGGTGCAGTCATATTATTTTGTTATGTTTTGCTTTTTAGTAACCAGGCTATAGCAAGCATTTCATTATGTAGTTTTGTGTATCTGTACGTATTTGACTTCTGCAACACACCATATACATAATGTGCTCCTCAGTGCATCTGTCAGAACGATTACTTTCCTTATTATCAGTTCTTTGTTTAAAAAAAAAAAAGGAGGAGGTATGAAATTCTCCAGGAGAGAAATATCAGACATGTACCTTGTCATTCTATAATAAGCTATAGAAAATGTTAGGAAATTAATTCATTTAAAGACTTGTTTTCCCATTAAAAGCAATTTTATACCTGCCTGGGTAAATGGCATAATCTTTAAATGTTAATAAAATATTTACTTATTAGTAGCATATTTGTATATTATGTACTTTTCCTAGTGTTTATAATCAAACTGTTCAAGTGAAACATTAATGCTCAAAGTCTACATGGAAAATTAAATGAAACAGGTAAAATTTATCAAAACATTAATTAAAAATTGGTTAAAACAGGTTAAAAATAGGTAATTTCTTCAGTGTTTGGAAATTGGAACTAACCAATTATTCATATCTATATAATGAAAAAGAAAACAAATTTCCACAAGTCTTTAGAAATATGATATTTGTTCAATTTAACTGTGTCAAACTAGAGAGTTGGAAAATAAACCTTTTGAAAAAATATCTAGAAAAATCCAGTTGATTTCAGTTGGTATAACTTAATGTGTGTCTGGAAGATTCTTTATCTGAGGAGAGCTTTTTTTTAAGTTGCGTGTTGTTCTCCCTACTCAAGTACTGTTTAAAAAAACCAACAAACAAAAAACAAGTCAGGTTTTATATTCTCTCACTGGGTCAGGTGTGTGACTGAAATAGTAAAAAAAAAACTGTCTACAAGATGCTGATATTTTTGCTCATTAAGACACCCTCCAAGGAGGCATAGACCATTCTCAAAAATATTCTGGAGGAGAAGAAACAGATACATGGCTTGGTTGTTGCTAATATCATCTTGGCAGAATTGCAGTGGGGTGGGGAGTGTTGCAGGGAAGCCCTGTCAGTGATCTTTTCCATTCTTTTGGAGTCTTTTCCTTTTAAAGAATTAATATCTAAATGTTTTAAAATTGTGTCCCCTCCAATTCAAATTTCTTTTGTACATATATTTGGTTAAGTTTAGCCCCTTTCCTTAGTGCATATTTCCAAATAACATTATCGCTTCTCATCAAGGACTAAGATAGTAGAGTCTAGCTTTGATAATTCTCTCATCATCAGTGAGAAAAGTTTATTATTAAAAAAACTGAAAGATTTGGTCCATTTGACATTTTTGGTCATGATGATATTGAATGATCTCACTTAGCTGACTTTCACACAGACTCCTTTACTTCTTAATGTATGTTTTGCTTCATTTGTGTGTATATGTGTTTGCGTGTAAGAGGGAGTTTTCCTAATTAGTTTATACTGTAAAGTTGAATTTCCATTGGGTTGGGTGTCTCTTCATTTACTAAAGGGATTAAGAGGCTAAAATGGTTTCTGGTCCTTGTCTTCCATTGTGTGGCAACCATTTGCTTCACCAATTAAATATGAGGTACTGTAAACATCAATGAAATGAGTTCTCCTGACTGCTTTATTTGCCTTTCTGGAGAGAACCTATAAACTGCTTTTCCATTTAGCTGAAGATTTTTTTTATCTCAACTAATTTATTTCATTGCATATTCTTTCCTTGGTAATTGCACTTGTTTACCTTATATTTCTGTTTGTTTAGAAGGGAGTAGTCAAACTTCAGCTGAAGTCCAAATCCTGCCTCCCCATAAGCTAAGAGCGGCTTTAATTTTTTTTAAACACAATAAAACTTTATTGTAAAATATAGTAACTATTCTTAGCTCATAGGCTGTACAAAAACAGGCAACAGAAGATTCAGACCAGAGTCTGCTAACCCCTGGTTCAGAGTGTTTGTAAGTTTAATATCATCTTCACTTCTAGGTTGTTGTGGGTTTTTTTTTTTTAATTTTTTTAAAAGATGCCTTACCTGCCTCTCTTTTCTTCAGTGTTGGCCTTTTTTTTTTAATTGATAATTAGGTCCAGATTTACATAGTATGTAATTTTGGGTTGTATAGTCACTCCTTTGTGGTTTTGTTGCTTTTTTTTAAAATATGTTTTCATTCCTTCTCTCATATAGAAGATAGCGAGTTATTGTTTGACAACGATCATATTAAAAGTAACAATCATTTAATTAATGTTTGTGGGAACATTCCTTAAGAAAGAGATGATTCATAGCATCCTCTATTTACTTCACCTTTTCTGCCACCTTTCCACCTCACAATGGAAAGGAATAAGAATTGCATGAAACTAGGACAAGTTGTTTTCCTCCTTGGTTTGCTTTGGCCAAAGATCATTTTTATCACCCAGGTGGCCAGTCTTTCAGTGATGAGTAAGCTTCTCTGGACTTGACTGCTGTGGTTCTTGGACAACAGACACAAAGTCTATCACCAGGCCTACATTCAAAATATTTCTAGCTGTTGAACCTGCCAAAGCTTACACTGCTTTGAAACAGTCTTATGGAGTCCAGAACACCTCCATGCCCTGATGAATCAGCAAAGTAGGATTCTAGTGGAGAAAAACCATTTAGATAAGAAATCAGGAAACCTTCCTGTGAATGTTCTGAAACTAGTTACCAAGATCTAGGAGTTGTATTCTATATTTAAGTGGCATGTTGTGGTTGTTTTGTGATTTGTCCTTCATTCTCAAAGAGGACCATGACATCAAGAAGATGATGCCATGACTTGTAAGTGAAATGGCTTTAAGTGAGGGAGGCCACCAGCCTTACTTTCTCCTCTGGAGCCATTTGGATCCAGTGGCCAGATATAGATCAGGACAACAGGAGATGGCCCAGTAAGTGGCATGTAACTAGCTAGGTACAGTCCAACATGAATGTAGATAATCTACTATCATTATTTTTTAAATCATTAAACATATAAAATATACATATTTATATTATACATTATAATTATAATGTAATAATTATAATACTATATTACAATAATTTACATTTGTTTTATAGTTTTAGGTTTGAAAATCACTTTTTGAAGAAACTGTAAGAAGCTGTTTTCTGTGTCCAGGGTAACAGGAGCAAGAAATGTTTACTGAGAGGGAGTTTATTGTACTGGATTGGTGGTCAGTTTATGCTAGTGATAGTCACTGTCCTGGTGCTGATTAAACATATGACTATGAGTGAGTCACTTAATCTCTT